TTAAGGGCAGGTGAACTTTACGGTCAGCACGCTGGCCAGACTCGTCCTCCAATGCCCTTACCCGTATACAACTCTCCGTGTTGCTGGCACTTAACCAATGGTGTCTCAGTAGCCTCTGTAGGCACTTTACCATACGATAACGGCGGCAACTGTGAAACTCCACTGAGGAACTGACTTGATATCCTTTCGAACTTGTACGCTGTGCACCAATATTTAACCGTTACTCAATTGTCCTCAGTTATTTAGATCTGAAAAGAGGGGACTGTGTTTCAGCTCGCCTCTTGCTGTTCACGTTCTCTTGAAAAAACTGATCTTTGGTCATTTCACTTCGCAGTTGACGGAGAACGGCAAAGAAACTTACAGAAAAGTGTAAACCTGACTAACCCCTTTATTACTACGCTCCTGTCGACGCCTTCGTAGTTTAGCAAGGTTCCTAAAACCAAACCCTGTCCAGCGGCACATCCCTATATAGACTATATAACATACTTAGTATTACATACATACATACGCTTTATACTGGTGGTGAATATTTTTTAAGAAATTCCCGCTTAAGTGGACCCTACTGTTCAAAGAAAATCGCGTCTAGCAAAAAAAGTTCTTGATTTTTTGACCGAAGTTTCTGGTATCGGCTTTTACAGTGTAATAATAAGCATACCACACTGGAAGCAGCGCACAGCAGTAAGAGCCCATGAATGTAATATATTAAAATGTATGTAGCAGCAGTTTTAGCAAAAACTGCTGAAGGATATTTCAGAAATGTCAAGGAACAAGTCATTCGACTGCAGAGCAAGATTTGGAGCAATTTATAGTGCTTCTAAAATTAAAGAGTACCTTTTAAAGAACAGCACGATTTGCAATCGGCCTTGGTTGTAACAATTAGCAAACATTAGAATTACTTGTCCCGAGAATTGGAGTGGTAGCTCGTTCGTCCTAGCTCCATGTGCCTTTATTAATAAGGGAGCCACTTTAATAGCTTATGACTACATCTTTTCTTTAGAGAACTTCTTTTTAAAAGCACTTTCCAGTTCAGTTCTTTATTTCCAGGTTATAATGTAATTACCATTCGTGATATACAAAGGACCTTAATCAACTTATCGCCACCTTTCCCGGCCCACCCCCTCCCCCTTTCCTCCAAAAAGTGTACACAGCTTTTAAGTGAGCACGTGCGCAAGTGTACATGTAGGAAATATTTTAGTAACGTCTCAATCACAAAGTAAAATATTAAATCCTCCCGCGTAGGCGCAAAAAGAGCATAAGTTTAAACAAAAGGAGTTTGGCGAAAAAAATACTGAGCGCATGAGAAAGGGGAAAAGTGATCGATAAACATCCCGGCTGTTGATATAAGAGTCAATAAGATATTTATTTACTTATTGCCATCTTTCCCGGCAAAGCCCCCTCCCCCAGTGTACACAGGTTTTGATTGAGCTCGTGCGGAAATATACTTGAAGTAAATGTTTTAGTAACGTTTTAAACGCAAAGTGAAATATTAACACCCTTAAAAAGAAGGTTCTTTGTGTGGAGTCCTCGGGAGTGCGTCGAGAGAATCGCGCTCGCTCAACCAGGAGATTGCGTATTTTATTTGGAATAAAATATGTTAACGAGATAACCGTTCTGTTAAAAAGTGTAGCCGTCGTTTATTTCTGATGACTGACATCAAATGGAAAAGAATGGTATCATCGATTAATAAAATCCTAGCACACGGTGTTTTGATAAATTTCAGTAACGTACCATTGAGCTATTATTGTAAAACTCATATTGATAGTTTTATTCTTTTCTCTTAAAAAGTGCAAAATACTCATAAGGTGGTGCGTGAGGCCGCCCCACAATCCCATCAAGGTAAGATCTTTCTTAAGTTTGAATAATTGGACTTGGATGTCGAGAAGTAGTTTTACAGAAAAATTATGTAGTTTGGTGTAGTTAATTAACTTACATGTAATCGTTTTTATACGACTATCATATACATGTATTTACGGTTTCACGGTGAGTTCTTTTGTGCGTTTTCCAGCCGCGGAGTGATTACTCTTCGTTTTGTCAAGAAAGTAGTCATAGTTTTTTGAATGATGATTGACCTCAAATGATAAAGAGTGGAAACTTCAATCAATGAAAATCCTGGCACGTGATAAGAAAAAGAAATCAACAAAGTGTTTTTAAACTATAGTATCGTACAAGGCGAGGTAAAAAAATTCACACAGTTTACTTTTGTTTTACGCAGAAAAAGTTTTGCAAATTAGTGGTGAAGTTATGCAGACCCCGTGCTGGCTAGTCCTTAACTTGTGATTGAAACCCCAACGGCACTGGAAAGCTGACGTGTCCCATTAACAGCAAACTGGATGTAACGAAATTAAATGTAGTTGTGAAATTAGTGTCGGTGTTACAGTTGATTGAAATAAAGCATTGAAAAGGTATCTTGTGGTTGTACTCAAGTACAAGGAACATAGCCTGCAGGAGGAAGGGTAGGCAAGGGGTCAACCTGTCCCTTGGAATCATTTTTTGACTCGCCTCAAATCTCGGTCAGTTGAAAGTCCAAGTCGATTACAAAGAAAAATTCGCCTGCTTTGCAGGCTACAAGGAATGTAATAAAACTTTTCATTGAGAGAGCCAATGCTAATCACCCTACTATCAAGTTTACTACTGAAGTATCACCAATAGAAACTACATTCTTGGACACAATGCAACAGTCTATAAGGGAGAACGATTCGAGAAAAAAGCATCCTCGATGTTCGTACACATTTTAAGTTACTGAAACCCTTCAGTGCACACACTTCAATAGCTGTCACCCAGCAGGCGTTAAGAAAGATTTTGTCAAAGGAGAGGCTCTCAGGGTTGTAAGAAGAAACTCTTTTAGAAAAGTTAAACATAAAAGGAAGGAAGCTCTGAAGCAAAACTTGAGAACGGTGAAAAAGATTCCAACCTTTGTCACGCAATTTCAACCGTCATTTCCAAACTTGAAAAAACATATATACTTATGTAAAAATGGCATCTAATCCAGAACCAGCCGTGACTCAGAGAGAAGGAGCCTCCCTTGCTCTCTTATGGAAAAGGGAAATCACTAAAGAGACATGCTTGTTAAAACAAAACTTTAAACTTATTAGGCTTTGAAAGACACAATGGACGCGCACAGGAGTTGTACAGGTCTAAAAAAGCCAAGAAGACTTACTGGTTTGATTATTTATTGAAATTAGAAAGACACTGCGTTGACTTCAGTTCTCGTGGCTTCTTTGTTAATAAATACCCATTAAACTTTGACAAACTTTTTGTTATAAATTTGGTTTAACGCGATGGCCGGATAGGAAACTTTGAGATGTCGAAGAATCAATCACTCGGCCTCAGAGCAAGGTTTGAGGAATTTATGTTGTTTCAAAAAACGCAGGGTACTTTTCAAAGCCGGAATGGAAAAATTCACGATCGGCTTGGTTTCATGATTAGCAGGCAGCGGGAAGAACTTTTCCCTAAAATTGGAATGAATTGTAGGCTCGTTCTATATACCTCAGAGCAATTTGTGGTCGAAATTCCAAAACAATTTGACAGCTGTTAGAATTCTAAATGACTTTCTAGTTATGGACTTCTGCTCCAATGATTTCTCTGACATTTATTTGGCGATTATATAAGTAAAATCGGATTATTTACCATGTATTTCTTCTAAATTTAGACAGCAGTAACTGGTATTGGTGAATTACTATGCGTGTGCTTTTAGCCAATCAGATTTGGGGAAATATTTTGAATGAATAATAATTGACGTTAAGGACTAAAAGGGTAAAAATTGGGTAAATGAAGCTACTTTAGACATATATTTTAAAACTTATTGATAAGGGTGGGTATGCCAACATAGTTATCGTCTCGAAGTCATTTATTTTCCCCTCAAATCATTTCTAAATAATTTTACCCTCTATAACGCTGGTCATGTTTTGAGCGCTTAAATTAAAGGCAGTAAAAAACAGTGTCCTGACGTCAGAATGTCTAACGTGTAACAGCTTTACTAATATCACAACAGTAGTATAGGATATGGGGGTGCGAGAACATTTTCAATATTATGGATTTGACCTTGGGTTTTTGATGACGTCAGCATTTTTCTCCGAATTGGATTCCAGGAATTTGGCCTTGGGAATCCGGTTTGAACCGGTTTTGGGCGGTTTGATTTTAATAATATCTAAGCCCAACCATATCACCATACCGAAATAGTTTGCGACTATATATTATTTTGGTTTTTGAGTCAGGATCTGGCTGATAGTTTTGATATTTATCCTCATTTGTGAATACAACATGATAATGATTATTACTTATTTTTTTGAGTCCAAAATCTAATCTGTCTATATTTGCTTTTCAATCATATCCAATATTTTGTCGACTATTGGATTTTCAATTATTTTCTTTTTATAAGTATCTAAAATAGGACCTAGATAAAAGCTCTTACCGCATTTATAATCAGCTTTTTCTATTGCTTGCTCAGGCTCAATGAGTACTGATCCTTTGTATCCTTCACAAGTATGTTTTATGATGCCAGATAGTAGTAACAACCCACGGCACGAAATTCTTGGTTCTTTTAGCTAGTTTATTTGCTATAATGCTGATTTTAGAGCGGTTTTCGTGTGCTTTTGTACGACTTTTGACTTAATATTTGAGACAAGGCCCAATTCACTGGTTAATTTTTGTTTACTAAGGCTTACTCTACCATTTGGAGGAATATATATAGATATCAAACTAGTGCCTCCTGATAGAGATTGTTGTTTGGCTAAAAGACGGATAAAATCTTCCATATACATATTGTATATAATTATGGAATATAAAAAAGGTGTGTTAAATAGATACTGACTTGTTTTTAGTTTGTGGTAATTTTATTTTTCAATTCGGTGGATGACTTTATAATTCATTTTTAGTGTGTCCTTATTAAGGAATTGTTTGATACAATATTTACTCGGTACTCTGATACCTTTCATGTATTCATGAATATTTTTGCTAATCTTATCATAATCATTACTGCGTATAAATGCATAGCCATTATTAACGTGCTTCTTCTTCATCTCCTTTTGGGCTTCTGATACATAGTAGTTACCTGTAGGACTCTTGAATTCTATGCCCAGGCCTTTATAATCTTTGTGATAATTAAGTACCAATAGATCAGGCTGTCCTCTCATATATCCTTTTTTATATGAATCCAGTCTTTTATTCTCAGTATCCTGATTCTCCCCCAGTCCTGCTACTAATATAGTATCTGGATAGTATTTCCTTATGAGGTCCACTACTTTATAATGGAGGTCAGTCTCATTACCAATCATAATCATCTTATTCCAGGGACTATCAAATAGTTTGTATTGGCCATATTTACGGATAGATGGGAGGACAGTGGTGAAAACCCATTGACGGAATCTTTTAGCAAGTTCTAATTTGGAGCTAAATACTAGTTCATAAAAGCCAGGCCCATTGATAAAAGTGTACCATCTACCTTGTTGGACCGGAGGGGGTGAAACGTCCACGCCAGGGGCAGCTTTTGGGTTGTATAAGATGAATCATTTTGTTTTCTTTTGATACATGCCTTTTTAATGCATGGCGAGTATCACTATATCCAAGGATCTCAGCAACATCTTTTCCTCGGAACCAAACATTTTGCTTATTATCAATATATGAAGTCAGCTCGATATTCATATCTTGATTGATATACTTCTTTTCTATCATGCTTATCATATATATAGATTACATAAATATTATCATGCAGACCAGAAATATGATAAGCATGATAGATTAAAAAGTATGGTGGGTCTGAGGTGCCGTTACAGCACATTAGACCTGACGCCCTGTTTCAGGACATCAACAAAGCTGTCCACAAAACGTGGACGCTCTCTCTGAGAATAACCCGTATAGTTTACGGGAAAAGATTTTCGGTCCTCCTTATCAACATGTTTTCTTTTACTTCTCCTCCTCCTCTTCCTCTGTTTCAAAGATTGCACCTAGCTATAGGACGCCGGTTAATGACATTTCTACTGTTTCCAGTTTTTTGGATATTAATTTCTTGTGGTATAATGTCGCAATTTCTTCCTCCAATTTTTGGATTTTAGTGAATAGTGCATTAAGCTCGGTTTCCTTACTCTGGATTTTAGTATCAAGCTTTCTCATATGATCGTCCATATATACTATTAGTTAGATAATTCTTGCAGGTTGCTTAGTGGAATCCAACTATTAAAGTCGTCACTATAGCCCAACTATTTTACAAGAGCTTGTTTCTTCTTATAATCCCTCCGAATGACCTTTTCAATGCGAAATACATCCTGTTTTGCTGGTAGTAATTCTGGCTCATAAAAGCTGCCTTATATTTCCTCATTATTGAGATCTTTTAATCTATAGGTGATTGGATTTGTTGATTGGATTTTATCGATCAGGAATATCTCTTCTGTCCAATTAGGTGTGTACCCTTTATTGAACACCTTTCTCTTATACTTACTTATCCTAACTTTATCACCAATCTTAAATATGGGCTTAGATGACAACTGCTTCATATCACCATACAGATTGTAATAGACTGATTTACGGATGTGACCTAATGAAGAGTGGGAACGGAGGTCATTAGATGGGCAAATACAAAATAAGATCTACCAAAGGAAGGTTTTTGAGCCCGCGATACTGAGCAACCCAAACAAACCCTTGTTTTTACTAAAACCGCTGGACACAAAACCTCCCCTGGGTCGATTACATTGTCACAATCGAGTTGGGCAAACGTTTGCTCTCGCAATTCTTGTGACTCCGGCGATAGTTGCACGGGACGAAAAAACGGATTTACCGAACGTCAAAGGTGAAGTCAAACGGGCGATAAAGGCCACCTTTGCACACCTTTGTACAACTTTGACGCGCGACAAATGTTTACCTTTGCTCGCGGTCAAAGGCGAGTCTTCAGGCGATAAAGGCCGTTTTTGTCACGCCTTTAACCCCTACCTTTGCCGCGCGTCAAAGGTATATTTCATTAGCATTTGTACCCCTATCAAAGGCGTCGTCAAATATGTCTGAGATTCAGGCCAAAGGTGTGACAAAAGCGTGGTAAAGTTATGTCTGTGATTAAAGTCAAAAGCTTGTGCAAAGTGTCGTCAAATGTGTCTGAGCCTCAGGTCAAATGTGTGACAAAGTTGTCGTCAAATGCGTCTGAGATTTAAGTCAAAGGTTTAATAAAGGTGTTGCCAAATATGTTTGGTTTTTTTCCTCCCCTCGCATCGCGCCTCTCGCTCGTCTCGCGCTTCGCGTGAATTCCGCGTTCGCCTCGCGCTTCGCGCGAATGCCGCGTTATTGCTTCGCTAGTCATAAGCGCTTGATATACAGGCTAGAATCCAACTTGAGATTTCAATCAAATTCAATTGCGACCTGGATACCGTTTAAAAAGATGGACAGATAAGAGACTGAGTTCTTAATCTTGTACTTTATTGTCCTGAAACCTCATTAGATGATTAGAAAGCTGAATAATTCCGATTAAAACTTAAACGCATAAAAGTGATTTTTTAAAACCTTTTCACGATTTATTGTCTAAAGTACTCATTGCAGTCTGTCGATGGACAATCATAATGACTGCCGCAAATTTTTGAAGCACTATAAATGTTCCAGATACACGCTGTTGTCACAGACGGCAACCTGCAAAATAGTTTAAAACGCTTCTTTCACGCAAGCCAGTGCAAAAATCATGGTAAGTAAGAAATATTCTTGATCAGGAGCCCATCTGTCTTGATGTTATCCTTGCGAAGATTTTCATTCTAGAGTGCTTTTGATTCTTGATGTAAGTGAAAGACAAACGCCATGTATCTAACTTCAATCTTCCTCTGTTGTGTGTTTTGTTCCACTGGAGACTTATCACTTTGCCTTGTTTCTTTTATCTGTGAAATAATTGTAAAAGAATATAGCAATTTGAGATAAAAAATTCAGTCGTAGTGTTTCAAATAAATTTTTCGGCCCCACTCCCTTTTTACTATCGCTCCTTTCCTGCAGAAAATTCCCCTTTCTCTTTACCTTTATCAAAACTTAAAGACCCGGTTAAAAATGTGTAGCGAACCTAATGCTTCTGAATGGGAACATTACATTTCGTGAACATGCATTGTCATTAAGTTCGTCATTTGTGAAATTTGACGTTTGAATCGAGCCTTATTATCACTTAATTAAGTCCAGGAAAATTCAATGAAAATTTCCCTCCATGCCCAAAGCTTAAAATTAAACTAAAGAAACACTTTACATTATACCTAGCCTGCATAACAAGCGTCTCCAATAGGGTTATTGCTCGAGTTAGCCCCTCCCGGCCCCTCCTTCCTCTTTTTTTGCCCTCTACAAACTTAGTCTCTTGCGGAAAAGCTCGCTACGCAGGCTATTTTTAAAGTTATTGTCCAGTCACAATAAAGAAAGGGACAGCTTGGTATGTTTGAATGATTATTATTACTGAAATGTTGAAACATACCTAGCTGCCACTGTGGTGGCACAAAAATCAATGGAATATTTTAAAAATTATGCAGCCTGAGCCCCATTACGTATAGAACCCAGAAAAATCAATAGAAAGAGATACTCACGTCTGTAAAACATCCGAAGTCTTCAAATAACCATACTTCTTTGTTTGATAAACTGCACTGAATCCTGTTCAAATAAGCTTATGTACTTTCTTCAGTAATATGCCCATCAAAGTCTGGTACAGATATTTTTATTGAAGTACACTGTCCATGAAAAAAAATATATGTAAGTCTTATATTATTTCATTACCCTGAAGTAGTTTTCGTAGTTAAGTATAACTGTTAGAAAAACCAGAGTTGGTTTATAATCTTGATGTTAGTAGGTTCTCGCATGGAGTTTTGACTTGAATTGCATTGTGAAATATAAGCCAACTATTACTTTTGCAGAAATGCACTAACCCTATTAATAAAAAAGGGCTTGATCTAATGTAAACTCTACTGTGATATAGAAAAATTTTTATAGTTTACTGAACCAGATTTGACAATCAGAAAAGTTCCCAAGCACGACATCACGCCTGTTGGGAGTTGGTTTCCGTAAGCTTAACACAGTAAAACAACTCTGAAGTTTGAAGAACAACTATTGCATGAACACATAGAAAAGAATGACACGTACCTTTTGAGCAAGTTTGTGGTCTAAACTCTATCAAAGATAAGGGTGACAAAAAGTAACAAAAGCTGAACTGCTTCGTACAAAAAAGCAGCTTTTGTTTTCTTCAGATCTGCGTAGTTTGTTTGTTTGCGCGGGCGGAGAGAGTTTGCAGCCGCGACAATTTCGCCCCAAAAACAGGGTGTCTTGCTCGGGTTCAGTCTTCCATCGTCCAGTTGTTGAGTCATTGTTTTGCGTCGCTGTCATTACATGGTATATTGATCGATCAAGGAGAAAATGATCAACTCAAGATAAGACAAAAAAAAAATCACTTCGAAAAAGTACATATTCTAGAACATTTTCAAAAATAATTATAAAACAGCAATTACAATGATTACCCGCCCGTGTTCGGTATTGTCGTATAAATATCTTTAAAACAGTATTCAAATACAGCTTTTTAATTTCCTGTCTCAATATCAGTTTCGACAGAGGTGTTTGTAGACGTAATTCATTGCATATTTGCTCTCACTTTTCAGCACCATTCAAGAGTGTTGTAAAAGTGTAGCGGTCGTATTTGACTTCATTTTTGACTAGTATCAAAGGTGTGGTCACAGCTAACTACACTTTTGACTTCATCTTTGACGTGCGTCAAAGGTAAAGTCAAAGTTACCAGCATATTTGACAACGACTTTGATAAGGGTTAAAGGAATAGCAAAGCATTGATTCATTTGACTTCATCTTTGACGCGCGTCAAAGGAGAAGTCAAAGTTGTTACCAATTTGACTTCACCTTTACCGAGGTCAAAGGAGTAAGCAAAGAGCTTATATATTTGGCGACATCTTTGACGCGCGTCAAAGGTGAAGTCAAAGCCAATAGCATATTTGACTTAACTTTTGACGCGCGTCAAAAGTGCAGTAAATCCAATTTTTCGTCCCGTGTTGTAACATGATCAATTCACACAGCTGTTTATAGTACGGAATTAATACCATGTTTTACACTCTACCGAGCATGAGTCTTTCAAAGCTAAGCCTTTAAAGTTCTGCTTTAACAAGCACGTCTTTTAGCGATTTTATTTTTCACTGCAATTTTATTTTTGCACTGAAATGTTTCAGAATGCTTAACTAGTGTGTACGTATATCGAGTATTCTTTTTTCTCGAATCGTGTCTCCCTTAAAGACTGTTGTGTCCAAGAATGTAGTTTTTATTGCTGATACTTTAGTAGGAAACTTGATAGTAAGGTGATTAGCATTGGCTTTCTCAATGAAAAAAGTCCTATTCTATTCCTTGTAGGTTGCAAAGCAGGGAAATTTTGCTGAGGCTGTGATCAGTTTGGACTTTTCACAGACCGAGAGTTGGGGCGAGTCAAAAAAATGATTCTAAGGGAGAAGTTGACCCCTTGCCTGCCCTTCCTCCATATTACCTTTGGGTCGCGCTTCAAAAAAAAAAAGAAAAAAAAACGCCTACTCTGCAGGGTAATTTCCTTGTACATGAGTACAACCTCAAGATACCTTTTCAATGCTTTATTTCAATCAACAGTAACACCGACCCTA